TGGAACTTATCTACTCGGACGTATTTATATATAATAACTTATTTAATGTATTATACAACAAAAATTATTTGTTTTTAGAAGAGCCTCCAATTCCATAGTCCAAGATATTTTTGTTCTATTATAGAGGGCGTGACAGGGTGTGCCTGAAGTCTAGCCAAACAGAAGCACTTTGTACGCATCGCTGACATCCACACACCTATGCTATTTTGAAACGCCATCAGTCGAAATCCCTAGCCCACGCAGCCAGGTTTCGGCTCTAAATGCCAGTCTAGCTGACGCGTGCTTGGTAAAGAGTTGGCACTAACGCCAAAATGACACGCATCGGGTTAAAAATGGTAAATATGCGACTTTTTCAGAACTCGAGTTGGTACTCTGAGGCGCCTTTGGCTGTTTCAAGTACAACCTATTGTGGGGGCGATCAACATGAAAAATACAAGCTAACGAAGTTAAATTTATTTACAACATATTAAAATCTTCCTACGGGTAGCCTATTGATGTGCCAACAAAGGCAAGTCTAACATCCAATTTGATTAATACTGATATCCCACTATAACCACAGGCTTGATTGAAAAAAAGTGGAGTATTCGCATACTGAAGCATTAATATTGAACGGAAATATTAGGTTTCCGATTTCATAATCCAGTTGCACTCCACATCTTTCCTCGATAAAGCTCGGCCGCGCCAATACCGGTTTCTCGCGAAGGTTTCTATAAGCCCCGTGCCGGAAAAATTATGTATACCGCTGCAAATACTTTCGTAAACGATATTTGCACAAAATATTCTTTATGGGAACGTCGTGCATGTACTTGAGTTGTGCTTATCCATTAGGGGTGTGATGGCTGAGGAAAGAGAGAGAGCGTGGTTGATGCTGCGGGAAGCTGACTAGCACTTAAAGACTAACTTGCGCTCAAGATATTGCACCAACTTGATTGGAGCATAAGTTTGGCATAATCAAAACTGCTGGCCGAACTGTCGCGTGCAAAACCAGGAGACATTGGTTGCTCACAAACAAATCTGGGCGCTCGAGCGACACAAAGTTTTATCAAGTGACTTTCAACGGCTACGTTACTCTTGAGCACCTGCCTGTATCTGCTGGTCTGCATCATACGTACAGCGACAAAAACCAAACTAACATAACCAAAATGTTCTTCCGATCACTGCTATTGGGGAAACGGTAGCTTTTAAA